AGATATTTCAACAATTCTCATATTTTTTGCAAAAGGCAGTATATAAGTATTCAACATTATAAACATAGAAAGCTACAAAATGTAGTATGATATTCCTGCTGAAATATCCAAATTTGATGTTGCTTGACACAACGCATGCAGGCTAATGTTGCATTACAAACTCAAAAACATCACAAAGTCTATCATAAATAAGACCTAAAAATGTAGAAGAATCTTTTTTTGCAAGTTTCCATTGTTTGAAATGTATGTTACATGTAGTTGTCCAATTAGTCGGTGTCATTACAGTATGGTACCATTAAGCAGTCACTTGCCATTCTCGTACCCAGATCCTTCTCAGTTTCCCAATGGAGAATAAAGACTCTGGTTGGAAACAAAAGATTTTTGATTTGATTGGCTCAAAAATTCCCATGCATCATGTCATATGACCCAGAGTCTTGGTCTTCCAGTGTCTTTAACCAGAGGCTTTGACTTTTTATTGGGAAGCTGAGAATGATCTGGGTACAAGAATGGTCACTTGCATTCCCTCTGGTAAACACAGTCTCCTCCCACAACCGTTACGAGGCTCATTCCCAGCCCACTCTACCCTAATGGCATTAGTTGGAGAGACCTGGGAACAAACCTTGTAACTGCTGTGGGAGGAGACTAGTAAACACACWTCAAGCATAATACTGAGGAATCAATTACAATATATTATTATTAATATACCCTGGGTTGTTTTCTCGCCATAGAGCCATTTAGCTGTCAAAAACCAGCTTTGCTTATAAGAAACCCTCTTCAGTTCAATGGCTCATTAACAATAAGCGATTTGCATCATAATAATGTCACATGCTACCAAGAACAGAATGCTTTGCCTACTTTCTTAATTTGTAATAATAAGTCCAAGTTATTTCACTAATCCAAATGAATTAAAAATCTAAATAACAAAGAAAATGAGCAGGGCATTCTGGTCTTGGTAGTAMAGTTACGTCATCATGTGCATGGCCTATTGCAAGTGAAAAGTGGGGTGTCCAGGAAACTGCAATATCATATATAAGACAACATTTTATCTGATATTATAGRTAACACAATCAATGTCTAATTGGAAGCCCTGGGCTGGGTTGTTAAAAGCCAGATTAGCATTAACCCAGGGTWAACTCCATAGKTTTTCTAAGAGTTAACTCAGGACTAGTAATAATCTGKCTTTGAACAACCCAGCCCACTGGAGATTAGAGTACTAACTGAAATATAATATCAATGGCTTTTCTGCTTTTTGATTGGTTGTATTCTCTATAATATGGGATAATTGCCTCCATCATGTTAATAGTAAATTATAAAATAATATTGTACAATGCCTAACCCATCACAAACTATGTATAAAAGTCTTTGCTTCTTCCCTTCTTTTCTTGAGTACTGTAGATTCTACCTCAGGGATTTCTACACTATCTGGTAAATACTTCTGCACCATGGTCATAAAGTACAGTTCCAGATTGTTGCCCATTCGGCCGACTTCAGAATTTTCCTGGAATGAAAAAAATATTTTTTWWWAAAGAATTAACTTTTTTTTTGTATTTATAATTTTGTTGCTGTTTTGTTACCCTTTGTCGACGTCGATCTGTTTCAAAAACATTTAGCAATAAAACTATATAAATTATACACCATGAATCCTGGATACTTACATCATTGAAAGTCTGGCAATTTTGGAAAATCAGCTTACAGTCAACAAGAAAGTCATTGATGGATGTATAGTGTTGAAAATGTTGTGGTTGTAACTTAGCACGCATGGTAGACAGATCCATCGGGTTTGCTATCACCTTGTAATAATTCGGAACCTACAATTACAAACAGAAGTCATTTCATTTGTTTTTAATAGCTCTACTAATAAAAAACTCCATTTTACAGTTCCAAGCTCCATCTTGAAAGGTAGCCAAGCTTTTGCGTCAGCGAGACAGGAATTGAGCCTGCAATTGAGCCTTTTGTTCACATCCAAGTGCCTTTCAAGATGACACTTGGAAATTAAAAATACAAATGGCGCGTGTGTCTCTGTCCTCTGAATAAACTCAGTGGGAATTGAAAAACACGAGAGAAGCAAGCTAAGAAACAAGATAAAGATGAACGATTTCTTGCAATTCCTTGAAGAACATTTTAAAGAAGAGTGTCCTACAGCTGTGGTACTGTCATTGGGGAAGACATGTCGTGTTGATGTTGACTCTCAGTAAATATCACGACCATATTTTTTTTGTCTTAAAAACTCCAGACAAACAGGAGTTRTACATAAAGAAAAATGTCTACCTTTTGACCAAATATATTTCTTTGTAAGTYTGAATTGCCCTAACAATGATACCAGTTGACATTTTCTTAAGATTTCAAAGATACTTACTGATTTGCTAACTCTCTGCTGGAATGGTATGCTGTCTGCATGACAGAACAGCTCAAGTAAGATCTTTTCACATATCTGAAAGGTGTCCGGTGAATTAAATAGTTGAACATTAAGCATTGTAACTAAGATAAATACTCGTGGCAGCCCATTACTTGGTACTAAGAGCCATCATATTATGATAAATATGTTTTGACAACTTACAAAATAAAACTTTCTCTCAAATGTGAGGTCTGGCACTCRTTAGTACAATTTTATATTTAACAAAATGATGGCTATTTTGGAGGCCTATTATTGGTAATTTAAAATAATTTCAGCTTTTTGTACATGATTGTATGAAAAAGATAATCATCTAGCGGTGGAATACACATCAATTTAGGTTATTGAATAATAGGTTTCCAGCCAGCGTTTCTTGTTTGATCAGCCAAAAAAATATAGAAACTGCTGAAATGTGCATCTCATCGTCTTATTACATTATCTAATAATTATTATTAAGTGAGTTAATTACTAAAAACAATGTTATTCTTAATAGGTTTCCAGTCAATGCTTCTTGTTTGACAGATCAGCCAAAAAATATAGAAACTGCAAAGCGGATGTGCATTTCATCTTCTTATTAGATAATAATTATTATGTGTGAGTTTTATTACAAATGTGAGTTTACACACCTTTCTTTCCCAATCCATGAGACCTGACAATGATGACCTACGCTTGTTGCCACTTTGTGGGGTTGAGTTTCCTGATTCAGCTAAAGACAATAAATAGTATGTAAAATTAATGATTTCATCAAGGAACAACAACATTTATTATAATTATAGCATAATTTTATTATCATAATGTCAAGTTAGAAAATGATCACAGTAAACAAAGTTAGAAACACTGACACTTAAGGGACGGTCCATTTAACTTTTGAGGGGGGATGCGGGGGGTTGGATGATTTCTTGTGAGCAAGATTTTTTTTTTCTTCGTGGCTTTTCAATATTTTTTTTCTCTTGGTGGTATGTAGGATTTTTTTTCTTCTTGTACTATGTAACATTTTTTTTTGGCTTAGTGTGGTGCAAGTTTTTTTTTTTCAGGTCCATATGGTGTGCACGATTTTTATTTTTGGTTAAGATGTCTTGCAGGATTTTTTTTTCCAAATCATTCACCCCCTCCCCCGCAAAAGTTAAATGGACCATCCCTAATTAATGCTAGTTTTCAGGGTGTCAGATAGGTCTTTCCAAAATTTTCCAAGAAGGCCAGGAACAGTATGTTACATGCCAGACACTAAAACCGTGAAAACTTTGGGCTTTTATAAAAATAAAACAAGTGCTAAAATATTAGAAAAACCTTAATCATATGACATTTCCCTCAGGTAGAATTGTTAATTGTTATTGTGAACTACATTCAGTATTGAGGTCAATTAAATTCCATTTGTGGCATGTCCCAGATGTTTATCAATGAACTGCCCAGTAGATCTCATAGAATATTTTGCAGTTCTTCAGCGCTAAATTTCCTCTAAACTGACCAAGAATGAAGCCATATTTTTAGATTGTTTGYTGTTTTTATCCTGTTCTTAGAAAACAAGGATTTTAAGGGAGGGTACTTTTTGAATGAAACATTTTAATTATTATGCATTAGTCATTTAGTAGGCATGTTTGACTAACATATGGAAAACTGCTCACAACTGAATAATATCCATATCAAGTGAAAAACACTCAATTGCTCTTTTTTCAATCATTCCCATGAGATTCAAAACATAAAAGACCGGCGGCCATGTTGGTTGAATTAACAATAGATACTAATTAGAAATCCTTTGTTGAAGTTCAACCAAGATGGCGGCTGTGACGTATATTGCAAACGAAGAATAGTAACACTTAATTTAACAAAAATACACATCAACTTTCCACATTGTACTACAGCTGTATTTTGATGCATCTAATTGCAGAAATATTGCAGTCTTAGAATAACATAATTGTACTTTTTAGTAAAAGGAAAATAACATTTAAAAAAGAAGGAAAGATCATGTTAACTCTGAACACTTATACTTTGTTTTGTCAGTTTTCAATGTTACTATTTCTTTTTACTAAATACAAATCATTGTTTTGTCTCATCTCTATAACAATGTTTTTGCAATTAATTGCACTGTATTAATGTTAGAATAACAAACATTTAATTAATGAGCAACCACTGAGTATCACTTTAGACATGGATTTGAATAATCTTAAGACAAGGGTTAGTCTATATGTTTACCTTGTAGGGCTTTTATGTCCAGCTGTTGACACAGTCCACAACTCCAGCTGTCACTACAATAAACAGAGCTTATTAATCGCAGTTCAATGTAAATCAATTCTGCACACTAATTATAACTATAAATATATCTTAATAGTTAAAAATAATAGTCCTTCGTTGATACTGTCACCTCTGAAGTTCCATTGAATTTTGAGTTTAGTTTTTGCATTGAARCAAGACAACAGTTGAKYGAGAACTGTCTGTGCACACAATTATCTTAAAAATATTTCATAGCATGGCTAATGGTTGTCTTGCTTCATGATGCACAGGCTAAGCTACGTTTSAAGATAATGAAGGGAACCATGAGGGAGACTAATAAGTCCTGGACATTYAAGCTCTTTTCCCACATTAAGTAAACTCCAGGTTAAACATTCAACTATAATTAAGAAGAAACTGTAGTGTGCAACGCA